AGGGGCCGAGAACAGGATCCTAAGCGCCTCTTCATAACTGCTAATGGCCATTAGGGAGCTGATCGTCACCCGCGCGCTGTTCACGCCCCCCGTCCCCCATGGGAACAGTCACATCGAGTCGATGAGGAGACAACGTAGGCAAAATACATGGAGTCGACGTGGACCATCGACTCGACCATCGAGTGCCAAACGGCACTAGAATCCACGGGGATAAGAAATAGATGTATCAACTCGATTGTCCACTCTGTATCCACGTACCATTCCCCCAAAAATATTTTTTCAAAATCCAAAAAATATTTTTTTGGTGTTTTGGTTTTCTTTGACCATACTTGAACGTTTGTATTAATTTCAGTCACATTAGAGAAGTTAATTACTGTACCTTTGCTGGGAGTTGAACCTTAGACCTGTCGCTTGGTAGACGGTGCCGCTAACCACGCTGCCACCGAGGCATCTGCTCACACCCTCTCTCTGCGAGCTATATATTCGGCAAGGTACCCGTGACTACATCCACGACCTATCCACGTAGTTGCTATAGGGATGGCAAAGTTACAGCTTGCCCTTTCCTGCTTTTAGTCGTGTATAAATAAGGACACAAAATATGAAACAGAAATCTATATAGTAGTGCGTACATCGATTACTGACTGAAATATCTATGAAGAATACTGGTGTTATAGGTCTATATGGAAATGTCCTCGCTGCGTCCATGTGGATAGGTAAGGTGTAAGTCCACGCGGAGAACAATATAAGGTATCTACGTGGAAATACCATACTGTTTCTAGGTAGATTGTTCCCTCTTTAAATAACGTAGATATGTTGTGGACGTGTCCACATAGACGACGAAAGGAAGTATCCACGTGGAAACTTCATTTTCGATCTAGGTGAAGACTACCACTTAATATCCACATAGATATTCAGTGGATATGTGGTCGACCAATCCTCATCCACGTGATCCACGAAGATCCCATGGAATCCACGTGGATGGGATGTGTCGTTCCCATGGGGTCCAGAGCAAGGCCCCGACACACCCTGCTGGTGCTGATCACTGAAGTACGATAAGGTGCGACAGTTTGGCGCTGCTTTTGTCCAGACAGAGGCA